TTGTAGATTCATAATTTCTATATTGTAGATCCATAATTTCTATATTGTAGATTCATAAAATTTATACTTTAAATTCCAATTGTTGAACTCTGTTTTCACAAATCAGATAACTATATGTTCATAATTTGATAACTATATAATTTAGAAATTATGAATTTACAGTACATAAATTATGAATCTACAGTACAGATATTATGAATCTGTAATATAGAAATTATGAATCTGCTGTATAGAAATTATGAATCTATTGTTTTTAAATTATGAATTTTACGATTTAGAAATTATGAATCTAAAGTATAAATTTTATGAATCTACAGTATAGAAATTATGAATTTACAGTACAGAAATTATGAATATGGAACCGTGCCTACCTTGTAAGGTGGGCACATCCTCACAGCATAACATTTCTTTGTTTGGAGGGGGCAAATACTTTTGTATATTGGTGAGATTTTGAAAGCTTAAACATTTGTTTGGAGGGGAGATGCTTTGGTGAGGGGGCCAAAAAAAAAAAAAAAAAAAAAAAAAAAAAAAAAAAAAGCAATATACTAGTAGTAATTTTTTTTTTTGTGGGGGGGGGGGGGGGGAGCAAGGGACCCTGCAATGACTATATACCTCCGTCCCTGCCTCTAACCAACATGGTTGGCGTGGTGGTTAAGTACCTCGTGCCTTAAGCATGAGGTTAGGGGTTTGATCCCCACTCATGTGAATGGAGCAAACCATTTGGCCAGTCCCCTACCACTTAGTGTGCTGACAGTACGTAGGGACGGGGGATTAGTCTTAGGGAACCAAAAAAATAAAAAATAAAAAAAAAAAAGTATGAATTCCCTCTCAAGTAATGCAAGGCTATATTTATACAAATTTATGGATTTTATTAATTAATTCAGTTAGTTTTTTTTTTTTTTTAAATCAAACTTTATGGTTAGGGTCACACACTCACACTTATGTGAGACCTTCTCATGAATTCTTATCCGTTCGACGGGTCGGGTTGAATCAATATTGAAATGTAATACTTATATACTAAAATATGTAATACTAATAAGGAATAAAGTGTTTGTTACTTCAAGGGAAAATTAGTGTGATATTTTTAAGAAAAAATGTAATACTTTTACATTTTTCACCAAAAGTATTACACGTTCCCTTATAAGTAATGCTGTCAAATTTTGTTACTTCTAAGGAAAAATATAATACTTTTAAATCAAAATATAAAAGTATTACATTTTCTCAAGTAATAAAAATTGTATTCCTGATTAGTATTACATTTTCAATTTAAGTATTACATATTATCTTAATCCGACCAGTTTCACGGATAAGGATATGTGAGACGGTCTCACACAAGTTTTTGTCTTATAGCTAAGGTCTCTACAACTATATTTTTTTATTTTTTATTAGTAATTATCTATTTTATCATGATTCAAGCATGAGCTACTTGATTCACTGACCTTCGAATATGACAAACAAATACGTTCTCAATATCCCTAGCAATCATATGACATTGCTTAATAACAAAACCAAACGAAAAGTGTAAATGACGCGAATTAAAAGCAAGGCAGAAATTTAAACAGTCTGATTCAACTATAACATTATTTCTACCATGGCCTTTAATTTGAGCCAAGTTAACGCCTCCTTCACTGCCATTGCTTCGGCTAAATAAGGATCATTGCCGCATATCATCCGTCCACAGCTAGCTGCTACAAACTATCCATAACCTGCCCCATCCTCAAATTAAACAATGCTGCATATACATTGCATATGCATTTTATGGAAGCTGCTGTCGGAGGCGTCCAAACACTATCTTGCCAAACTTTCGTATTACGTGTGGACCAAAGAACTCACATAATGGCAGCCATACATGCAGGCCCGGCCCTGGGCAAGGGCAGGCTGGCCCTTGCCCAGGGTCCATCTCTTGATAGGGGCCCTAGTCCATAGACATATAGTATATAGTATATAGTATATAATATATTAAAAAAAATCTTTTATTTTTTTAAGGCCAGGTTCGCGTCTCTGCGAAGAAAACGGAAGGAGTCGACGAAGACGAGAGACGCCCAGACTCTTACGGCCCGTTTGGTTTGCTGGAAAATATTTGAAGGGAAATGGAATTCAAATTCCATGGAAAACAAATTACCAAGAAAATAGATTCTATTGTTTGGTTAGTGGAAAAGAAATTACTGGGAATATGAATTCTATTGTTTGGTTGGGTTTGGAATGGTAAGGAATTATGAATATAAAGACCAATATGCCCTTAACAATAATTTATACATGTGTAGTTAATAAATTTTAATGAGGGCAAAATAGTCTAATATTACTATATTTTCTTCCCAACTCATTTGGAAAACAAAATACCAATGTTTAGGTAGGATTTTCTTTTCCTTCACCTTTGGGAAGTCAAATTCCCATGGAAAAGAGTTTTCATCCAACCAAACAAGGTAAAACAACATTTTCCTACATTTCATGGAAAATCTTTTCCATGGAATTTGATTTCCATCCAACCAAACACCCCCTTAGTCTTGCACCCACCGCCCACGCCGCCAGAGTCCAAGCGTCGCCGACTCGCCGGTTGCACCTACGCCATTGCATTGATAGCAACCACCTGGCCTTCTCTGCTTCTCAAATCTCAACGATAAAAAGAGTCATCAATAAAAGCTCAAATTCCTCAGAAGCAAACTGCAAATCCACCATCCACCATCTGCACTAATCACAATCTGCAATTTCACGGGCCCTATCTGCAAATCCGCCATAGCAACCGTTCACCAGGCCTTCCGCGGTTCCGCCTTCGACTAATCACCTTCACGGCTTCATCTAATTTCAAAACTGCGAAGGTATTGTTCTATTTCTAATTTCAACTAATTATAAATTTGTCTTTTGCTATTATTCTATTAATTAATTAATTAATAATGCAAATATGTAATTCTGGGTATTCCTAATTTTATGTCGATTGCTATGAAAAATGCCTGCAATTGTGATTTTTGAATTGTAATTAGGAATTAGATTTTGTGAAGTGCTAAGTGTTGTACTGCTTAAGTGCTTAGTATGCTGTGAATTAGCCAATTAGGATTTTTGGTTTGTGAACTGTAATTAGGAATTAGGATTTTTGAATTGCAAAGTGTTGTGCTACTTAAGTGCTTACTGCTTAGTATGCCTTATTGCTTTACTTTCATTAATGAAAGTTGAATCTAACCAGTAACCAAAAATGAAGTGGGTAAAGGAAAAGGTAGGGTCCAAGCTAGCCTAAGAGGAAAAACCATTAGATGATTCACATTAGAAACTGAATGATGTAAAACAAATCTAAGGAAATTTGAGGAATTAAGTTCAATATTACAACTCAATTAATTGAATGATGCAATTTTAAGAACATATTGCATTTAAGTTCAATATTTCTTAATATAAGGAATTAAGTTCAATATTACAATCCAACTTTAATTTACACAATTTCTCTTCTTAATTGTATGTAAAACAATTTCCTTAACTTTTTACTTATTAGTTTGTGAAGAGTTTTACCTAATAAAGACAATTTTAAGTTATTGCAGGAGGAGAAAATACTTGCATTCTCACCAAGGTTAAATGGATTGACAATATTGTGTATTGAGAATCATACCTTAGACAATATTAGTCTTGAAGAGGTCATTGATGACTTTGCATCTAGGAAAGCAAATAGACATTTTTCGTCATAATTAGTTTTGTATTTGTATTGTATTTGTAAAATGTTGAAAATTTTTAAATTTTATTTCATTTTAGTTGATATTAGTATGTTTGTACGCTTATGTAACATTTAAAATTTAGTTATAAAAATTTATGTTAACTTCTAAATATCATAATGGGGCCCTTTTTTTCACTTGCCCTGGACCTATAAAACTATAGGACCGGCCCTGCATACATGCCTATTGGCCTGAGCAATGCTTTTAATTAGGATTTCCTTCCCTGCTTTGGACATGAATCTTTGCTACCAAGATTATCTCACTCTTTGCTCTATATAACGGAAAACTGCCGCTTTGTTACTACCCAAGACAGTGGGTAAGCCAAGGTAACATTCCAGATCACTTGAAACAGAAACCCCAAAACAAGTTGCTATGGAGTTCCCGCATGTCAGTTGTAGTATTGGAGCTAAACATGATACTAGATTTGTCAAAGTTTACCGCCTGCCCCGATGCTGCACAATACTCTGCTAAACATTCTTTCACTACATGTGCTTCATGATCATTGAATTGGCCACATAGAACATTTACAAATAATCAAATATATAATTTATAAGTTCCTCACAATGTAAATATATTAATGTCTTCAAAATGATCAAAGACAACAACAAGAACAACAAGAGATCGAACAAGTTAAACATTTATTGAGCAACCATAAACCACCTCTTCTACTGCTCTTCTAGAGTATGATCCCCACCCCCCTTAATCCTAGCCTTCTTGAACCTCAGCTCCACCTCCTATTGAACACCCCAAACATACATACCAACCAAACAACATATAAATAACATTCATAAGAAAAGAAGAGAGAATAAGCAAAGGTTAAGGAGATGCTTAGGTAGAGGATCGGAGAAGAGAGTTTATCCTTAGGATGTCTTGCTAAAATGAAGATGATTTCTTCAGCTCAATGGAATGGGAGAATGGCGTGAAGGCTAAAGGGGGAATGAAGAAGAAATTGCTACAGTGCACTATTTATGGAAAATTTTGGACAATCACTTTACAACACAAAAATTGATACGAATTAAGAGCATCTACACCAGTTATTTTTTTTACACAATATTTAAGAATCTAAGTAGAAGAAAAGTTGTTCTCTGACACAAAAAAATAATAATAATAATAGCGCCTAACGCGCTAGTCTGTCCGTACATTTCAGGGTGGTCTTTCCTCTGTTTTTTCTCTCTCCTAAAACTCACAAAAAATTAGGAGATCAAAATGCAATCTCACCTTGTCTGCCTTCCCTTTTTTGATTGGTGGTGGAATAACGAATCTTACTCGGCCCCGTATATATAATGGCCCTGCCGCTGCGTCTTGTAAATTCATCCATCCGCTCGTGAACCTATTCCTTTTGTAGAAAATTTCCCTCCTTTTTTCTAACCGCTTATTCCGCCGTCGAGAAAGCTCCGATCCGATCCGCTGCTAGGGTTACGATCTCGGAGCAGGAAGACGGTAATCATCTGCTCTGCGCGCTGTTGTTACTCGTATATATATATATATATATATATATATATATATATATATATATATATATATTAGTTTGATTTGCATTTAGTGACGTGCATGTGCATGTTGGTTACGTTGGATTGCCGATTGAGGTTTCTGTTAATTTTTATTATCGGTTTTGATTGCTCAAAGGCTTTGATAGAGGAGGAGGACGAGGAGGATGATTACACGACAGTTAATTGTTAAAAGTTTCATATTCATATATTATTGGTCTTAATTGTAATTGAAAATTGAAAATAAAATTTTAGAAGCAATTGATATTGAAATTTTGGTGATTAATTTTGTATTTAAATATAAAAAAAAATAGCATTTTAAAATTAAGTTTTGAATTGTATTATCTCTTTGTTAAAATGTTAAATTTTTATGCATTATATTTGGATAAAAAATTTTGATTACATTTTTATTTCTCAATTACTTCTAGACCTTCTAAATTTCTATCTTCCAGGTTTCTGTGATTATGTTTTCTACCTTTATAAATATAACTCTCTATCATGCGAAATTTAAATATTAAAAAATTCTCTCTCTCCCTATATTCTTTGTTTATATATTGTCTAGAAATCTCTACCACTATAACAAAAAAAGGTTCAAATTAAACTTTTAGACAGTACCCCTATTTTTGATAGAACGGCCCTTGTATATATTTTGGATGTCATTTATCAGTTTTCGTTATTTTGACTTTTTTAAAATAGCGTATATTGATTCGTAACATTATTTGTTTTTCGTTTTAAAGTTTGATGCTTTGCGTTTTATTTAAGTTCTGGCCGGGTATATTTGCTGTGTCGAATTTTTTCCCAACTAAAATGGATTCTGTTCTGGAAATTCTAAAGATATTAGATTCTTAGTTTATTAGGAATGGTTAATGAATCATTAGGCACTTGTTGCTAAATACTGTCTTGACTACTATAGGATAACTCCAATTGCATGCTTTTAAATCTTATCATTTTGTTATCCCTTAGTTTCTGCAATTAGCTTCTGGCAGAGCAGGAATTACGATATAACCCAATCAGCTAACAGCCATTTACCAAACACTCTATTACGTTGAAACAATATAATATTATGATTTGTTGTGATTAAGTGGTGCTGTGATTCCAACATGCAATGCAGGTGTAATGACTGATGGATTTTAAAGGTGGGGAAAAGAAGTGTAGCAGTAGTAAATCCTCCTTGGTCTACGAGGCACCCCTTGGTTACACTGTAGAGGACGTTCGACCAAACGGAGGAATCAAGAAATTCAGATCTGCTGCCTACTCCAACGTCAGTCACTTTAGTTTGTTGACCATATAATATATATAAACATAAATGTGCAATCCAACTATTAGCTTAGACTTTTAGTTGAAATGGAACACATGCTTCAATACTTAAATGTTCTTCTTTGTTTGCTTATATTTGCAGTGCGCACGCAAACCATCCTGAGGCCCCCCTGTACTGTGCTTTTTCATAACCACAATCAGTGGTTAAATTATAGTTAGTTAAAACATATCATCTGCTCTCTCATACTTTCCTTCTTCACTCGCTCTCTCTTTTAAACTCAAGATGGCCTTGTCAACCTCTGCAATTGGATTTGAAGGCTACGAAAAGAGGCTTGAAATCTCATTCTTTGAGGTTGGGATATTTTCTGACCCTCAAGGCCGGGGCCTCCGAGCCCTTTCTAAGGAGCAATTGGACAAAGTTCTGAACCAGGCTCAGTGCACTATTGTCTCATCATTATCGAATTATGAAGTTGATTCCTATGTTCTTTCTGAATCCAGCCTCTTTGTGTACCCATACAAGATTATCATTAAAACTTGTGGCACTACAAAGCTGCTACTTTCTATTCCTCCCATCCTAGAGTTGGGCGATGGGCTCGGCCTCGATGTGAAATCGGTGAAATACACTCGTGGGAGTTTTATCTTTCCTGAGGTTCAGCCATACCCACACCGTAATTTCTCTGAAGAAGTTGCCATTCTTGATGGTTACTTTGGTAAACTCGGTACAACGGGTAGCAAAGCCTATGTGATGGGTGGTGGTGATGGAAAACAGCAGCAATGGCATGTTTACTCTGCATCTGCTGAATCTGCAGAAAACATGTTTCCCATTTATACCTTGGAGATGTGCATGACTGGGTTGGACAAGAAGAGTGCATCTGTGTTTTTCAAGACAGAATCTAGTTCGGCTGCTGTGATTACTGATGCTTCTGGGATTAGAAACATTCTTCCCGGATCGGAGATATGTGATTTTGATTTCGAACCGTGTGGGTACTCGATGAATGGTGTTGAGGGAGGCAAAATCTCTACAATTCATGTGACCCCAGAAGATGGGTTCAGCTATGCAAGTTTTGAAGCCATGGGTTATGATTTCAAAGATGTGAAGCTGGATGCCCTTATCCAGAGAGTGTTGGCCTGCTTCCAACCTGCTGAATTCTCTGTTGCTTTGCACTGTGACTGTGACTGTGGTGACTCCATTGATTCTGTGTTGAATGTTGATGTGGAAGGATATGGGTGTGGAGAAAGGAGCTATGAAGGCCTTGGCAAGGGAGGGTCAATTATGTACTGTGGCTTCACTAGTACTGCTACTTGTGGGTCTCCCAGATCAACCCTGCTCTGCTGTTGGAGTGAAAATGAGGACGAGGAAGGAGAGAAGAAACACTTCTAATCAGATGATCATCTACTTTTTCTTCTCTATTACTATTTTTTTTTTTTTTTGAAGAATCTATTACTATTTTTCTATATTATCTACTTGCCTGTTGCTGTTGGTATTCACTATTTTCAGAATGCATTTGTTATTGTTGAACATGTTGTGATAATAATAAACTTGAGTGCTTAAGTAATTTGTTTTTGGTGTTATTATCCTATTCTGATCTGATTTTGTTGTCTAATGATCCTTTACATGTGTTCACAAATAGAATAAGTACTCCCCTCCGTTTTTATGCTTTTGATTTAGGTAATGAGATTTTTTTTGAAAGGTATAATAGTAATATATTAATAGATAAACTGAACAATAGAGTCAGGAGGGACAGAGTCCCAGTACATAGGTTGTTCCTGATTGAAAGTTAACGAAGCTAAAGTATGAGCATGAAAATTAAGAATTCTAGAAATTAACTTAAAAGAACAATGCGTAAATAACGATATGGCTATCCTACATTGGTCCACAATGATCCCAATATAGGAGAAGTTAGCCGTTGGGCTTGAATGTAAAGCATTCCGCAACTCCGAGCAATCTGTTAGAAGAATATCCACCTCCATGATATCCCGATCCTTAAGCTAGGACAGTGCCTCTTTGCAAGCAAGCGCCTCCGCCATAACGGCCAAGAAAGCACCCGATAATTTTCCACTTGTTGCAGCCACGAAGGTGCCGTGATGGGAGAGGAGCACCACCCCATACGTAGCTTCTCCGGTGTCTGGTCTGTAGCCGGCATCGATGTAGCACCTCGGTGTGCCGCTGTCACTCGCCTCAGCAGCCACGGGATCCAGCGCCATGGGTGACGGACGGTGTGTCTGTCGATAGGCGTGCATCGCCGTTGCCGCACGTCGCCATACCTGTTGAGGCCGTGGTAGGGCGTGATCCCACACCGCTATATTGCAGACATTCCAAATATATAATTTAAATATATAATGAGATTTAATCAATATATGATTTAATTATTCACTTTCATGTATTTATTATTATTAAATTTACGAGGGTTAATTTATTTACAATTTAATTTTTCATAATATATTTAGTATATGATTAATTAAATTTAAATATTATAAGAAAACACAATGGATTTGTTCTCTACTAGTTCAAAAAATTGGCACGTCATTCTGAATATTAGGAAAAATATTTTTAGATTTTAGTCCCGTTAGAGGAGATTTAAACCACCATAGATCAGCAGTTCTGCTCAATTCTATCTTCTTACAATACACGGTTTCATAAATTAGACATGTCATTAAATCACTTTAAAATTTAAATAGGCCTACCTGTAAAGGGAACAAAATCATCCTTTGAGTAAAATGTAATTCATAAAGGTCTAAACTTTCTTGCAGCTCTTAACTGCTGGGCACGCTTTTTGTCCTGCTCAAACTTACTTTGAAGCTCCATAATCTCTGCATTGAAAAGTGAAGTGAGAATTTGTCATTAACTAACTTTATAAACCCAAACTTTAGCAACAGATTTGTATTCCACAATCTTTATAAATGAAGGATCAACAAAGAGGATTCTGGTTCTAATATTTGACTAGTCGTCATACCATTTAACATGATGGTATTTCAGAATTAAATTCATCTTGGTAAGCAAACTCTAGTCCTCCACAGCTAAGAGAAAGAAATTACTAACCTAGTAGAGACTGATACAACCAAACAATCTAGAAAAAAATATTTCAGGTTATGTTCTTAGAAAGTCCAAAGGAATTTAATTACGAATGGACAACAAATTGTGGGGAAGAAGCCACAGGATAGGTGTCAAACGGACAAATTCTAGATTTCTAAAAGGTTAACAATTTGTAGGACTAATAATAGGATACTGCTTAGCTAACTAACCCATAATTGCAACGTGGTATATGGACCCATAAAATGATTGGGAAATTGGTAACTCAATAGTTATGCTGTGCAACCGAATGTACCATGCGCGTGGTGCATACGGTTCAAAACGACGTCGTTTTGATTAAAAACGCGCGTCCCACTTAAAAAATAAAAATCAGGTTCGACTCTCAGCAATAGCATTATTGTGGATATATAGTTATGAAATTGTGGATATATAGTTATGAAATTGTGGTTATATAGTTATGAATTTCTGGATATATAAAAATGCTATTGCCGGGAATCGAACCTGATTTCTTCTTTAAGTGGGACGCGCGTTTTTTTAACCAAAACGGCACCGTTTTGCAACCGTATGCACCTTGCAAGGTGCATTCGGTTGCACAGCATAATTTGCGTTGGTAACTATGGACAATATTAGTATTGATTTGCTTCTCAAACAAACTTGAAAATAAGATATATGTGTTGAAACCCTAGGCCTGTTAGAGTGGTCCATTAGATTATAGCTTTTCCTGTATAAATTATTGTAATCTGTATAGCACTATAATGAGAAATAGATGAAACCTTTCACTCTTTCACAATATGGCAGTCTAAACAAACATACTTTGCATTCCTTTAGAGGCATCTTCATCTCCAGAAGATAGTTCATACACATCTTCAGCTTCTCCACTTTTTCCCCGAAAATTCTCCTTTGCATTTGGTTGTGGATAGTCCTCAGTTTTTCTTGACTTACCTACTGTTCAATGGATTGTGGCATGTTAGAATTCCTCCTCAAAAACAGATAAAATAATCTTAAAATTTCTGATGATACTCATCTAGTCTAGCAGTAAAAAGTAAAGGGTAGGTCAAAGAAGAAAAACATATGGTGACATTATCACCATAATTGCCTGTCAGAACATGAGTCAGAAAATTAACAATTTTTTATTTTATTTTTAATGTTAAAAAACCATTTCCTTAGTTGGAATAATAATGTAACCATTTTAAACATTAGGAGCTTGAGACGGCTAAGGGTTATTAACTGTTCCAAATGTATGTAACTCGATCTATTTTCATTCAAAGAATATCTTAAGACAATAATCATTGAATAAACTCTCCTTTATGATGAAGTTGTCCTTAAGAGGTCACATTCCAACCCCTACATGGCACAATTACATATTAGGGTGTGTTTGGTTCATATGTTTACACACTAAGAATAATAATCAGAATCATAGTTAGTGTTTGATTGTTTAAATTTAAAAACACAATTATGAATTTTGATTATTTCTTCAATTAAAAATTTTATTACCTAATTAAAAAGGGGTATCATTTCATCTTATTAGTAATCTAGTTTTTAAGTTTTGATTACTACTTTTATATTTGTGTTTTGAATTCTTTTTTTGTTCATATTAAAAAGGGTATCATGCAAAATACTTTCATCAAAATTTATTACCATTATCAAGTATTTGATTCCGATTTCGATTCCCTTGTGCGAACCAACCAGACCCTTAATTGTGATTAACAAAAAGGATATGATGGTGGGTCAAAATTTGGTACATTGTGTAATACTTGAAAATTAAATCCGCAGCCCATCCAAGCGCGTCGGGCGGACAGGGAAAGGTTGTGAGAAATCTAAACCATTTAATTAAATCATACAATTCCACCCCAAAGAACTCCAAATATAAACAACACTAAACTATTGCCACAGTGAATTATGTATGGCATGTTTTTTTAAAGTCTTCATGCGAAAGGCTCTTTAACACCTATGTTTCTCCAATATCCAACTTATATCCCACTTATATATACCCACCCATCACCCTCTCATGAACTCATTCATTAAACACTGCTAATCTCAATTCTTAAAGCTAGCTACATACTAACAATGATGTCTAATCTCAATGGAAAGGATAATGTTTCAACTCAGAACTACTACAGATCTTCCCCGACGAGCCGCCGCCGCCTTCCTACTCAGGGAAAGGCAACAATTCTTGCATTAGGCAAAGCCTTCCCTAGCCAACTTGTTCCTCAGGACTGCTTAGTGGAGGGCTATATCCGCGACACCAAATGCGACGATCTTGCCATCAAGGAGAAGCTTGAGAGACTTTGTAAGTGGTGCACATATATGCTTATAACTTAATTAGACTTTTTTGGGTGGCGAAGAAAACTCGCAGTGCTTGAGAGACTTTGTAAGTGGTACACATATATGCTTATAACTTAATTAGACTTTCTTGGGCGGCGAAGAAAACCCGCAGTTAAAAAAGGAAAAGGATGTGCCTGGGATTCGAACTTGTGACTTTGTGGTTACAAGTTTTTATCCTTAGTCATTTTGACTGGAGTTACTCCAGATTAATATTGTAGAAGGTGCTAGTCAGGTACTCGAGGGGGGCCTAGAGCCTAGGCTGGCTAGTAATAATAGTAAGAAAAACACATTAGTGTACACATTGCACACCTAAAGAACAAAAACGGTTGAGTTGGTTGACTCGGGCACCTAGTTGGCAGTTTGGTGCCTAGTTGGGTGACTCGAACACCTAATTTGACCGACTCAGGCGTCAGGGTGGTTGACTCGGACACCTAGACCGCCTAATTAGCTGACTAATATTCTCTTAAGGATAAAATTTTCTCCACCTAGGAGCGCCTAGCACTTAATGGAAGTCTAGATAGGCTCCTAGACTAATTTTTACAACGGTGTACAAAATTAATCGGACTTTCTTTTTGTGCAATTTTGCCTTGATGGAATCTAGTAATTTTGTTTTGGTTCTATCTAGGTAAAACGACTACCGTGAAGACTAGATACACTGTTATGTGCAAGGATGTGTTGGACAAATACCCAGAACTAGCCACGGAAGGCTCTCCAACCATAGCGCAACGCCTAGAGGTGGCAAACCCAGCCGTGATTGCGATGGCGAAAGAAGCAAGCCTGGCTTGCATAAAGGATTGGGGGCGGCCGGTGGAGGAAATCACCCACGTCGTCTACGTTTCCTCCAGCGAAATCCGGCTGCCCGGCGGCGATCTTTACTTGGCCGCCGAGCTCGGCCTGAAAAGCGATGTCAATCGCGTAATGCTCTACTTCCTAGGCTGCTATGGCGGCGTCACCGGCCTCCGGGTCGCCAAAGACATAGCGGAGAACAACCCAGGGAGCCGCGTCCTGCTAACCACGTCGGAAACCACCATCCTCGGCTTCCGCCCGCCCAACAAGGCCCGCCCGTACGACCTCGTCGGCGCGGCGCTCTTCGGCGACGGCGCGGCGGCGGTGATCGTCGGCGCCAACCCCAGGGAAAGCCTCGAAAACCCATTCATGGAACTGAGTTTCGCCGCCCAGCAATTCCTCCCCGGGACCCAAAGCGTGATCGACGGCCGGATCTCCGAGGAGGGGATAAACTTCAAGCTGGGCAGGGATTTGCCGGAAAAGATCGAAAACAACATCGAGGACTTCTGCAAGAAACTGATAGGCAAAGCCAATAATAATAATAATAACTTGACTTACAATGAGCTTTTCTGGGCGGTTCATCCCGGAGGGCCGGCGATTCTGAACAGGCTGGAGAGGACTCTGGGGCTGAGAAGCGAGAAGCTGGATTGCAGCAGGAGGGCATTAATGGATTTCGGAAACGTTAGTAGCAATACCATCTTCTATGTGTTAGAGTATATGAGAGATGAGCTGATGATGAAGAGAAAGCAGGGCAAAGAAGAAGAAGAAGAAGGTGGTTTAGAGTGGGGGCTTGCTTTGGCTTTTGGACCTGGAATCACTTTTGAAGGGATTCTTCTAAGGAATCTGCAGTGATAGATGGATCCATCGCCATTCTACTCTACACGTACTGCACATTATTATTATTACATCCATTATATTTTGCACACATTAATTCTTGTCACGTTCCATCGATCTCCATTCAAATAATGCATAATAATATATGAGAATATGCATGATTAGAAAATAACAAGACATACGTGATGATGTGTCTCATTCAATTAAGATACGAATATTGTTATATGGTGTTTAATCAAGTAATTTGACAAAATGGTTTTTTTTTTTTTTTTTAATACCTCCGAGTATACTAACACCGTCACGTTTAGTCCTAACATTTCAATGTAATCACTGGTAATTCTTCAGCTTTCAAATTTAACTGGTCCTTCAACTTTTAAGTTAATCATGTACTTCAAATTTCAAATTTTTAACCATACATGCTCTTAATTTGCCTTTACTTAAACTAACGAATGGATTATGATTGGTTAATTTGAAAGTTGAAGGATCATTAGTGATTAAATTGTAAGTTTAATTAGAACTAAATGTTACCGTACCACCTGTTGGTAATAACTTTTTTTTTCCTACCTAGTATCTACCATAGTGTTTTCCTTTTAGATCTTATTATTTTGTTTTGTTTTGTTTTTTGTTTTTTGTTTTTTTTTTTTTGTTTTGTTTTTTTTTTTTTTTTTTTGTTTTTGTTTTTACTTTTTGTCTTTTATTTTTTTTTTTTTGAAAAAAGAAAATAAGTCTTAATCTTGGAATAAATACTTGTTTTAGTCAGGGATGGAGCCAGAAATTCGGTTGAGGGGGGGCGAAACAGTACAGACGGATTCAGAAATTTTTTTCAGAAAAAGCGAAACAGAACAGACGGATTAAGAAATTTTTTTCAGAAAAGGCGAAACATTAAAACTAAAGAGATAATTTAAAAATAAATAAACAAACTACTTAAGAAATATAATTGTAAATATTGTTGGATATGGACGAAAAATAAAACACATCGAAACTTTATAAAAATATTCATAACAAAATATGAAACATAATTAATAAAATAATTTGAATAGAAAACACATTATAAATTACACATCTTATTATAGAGTGTGTGTGTAATATTAAAAAAAAAACTATTAAAAAGAATTGTAAAACTATGTTGATGCTAAGATTAGAACCTTTAACCTCATTATTACCAAAAATGTGTTCTACCACCTACTCTAACTCATTTCTTGTTAACATTTTACAGTTTTTTTATACTAATACTAGAACATGTACTATATATACATATATACATACAAAATTACAAATACTATATATGGGGTGGGGGCGGGTGAGGGAGGGCAGCCGCCCCCTGCGCCCCCCCCCCCTCCCTCCGTCCCTGGTTTTAGTCCTCCACATGACAATCATTATTGTATGGACCATGGTCCACACAAGTTGTGTGGACCATATTTTGTCTACTATAAAATAATGTACATTTAGTACAAAAATAATGTACATTCAGTACAAAAGTAATGTACATTTAGTATATTAAAAATGTACATTTTATTATGCACATAACATTGTGTGAACCATGGTCCATACAATAATTTGCCTCCACATGTAACACGTAAAAATTAAAGTGTTATTTAATGATCATAATATATATGAAGACTAAAATAACAATCAATCGTTATACCATGCACCAGGATTCACACTGCACTATTGGTCCTGGTTCATGTGTTTGTGTTTTGTATTATGACTTTTTGTGTCTTGCATTATGAAATTTTGTACCTGAAACAAATTAGCAATTGTGTTTTATATTATGAATTTTTAGGTTTGGTGTTGTGAAATTTTGTGTCTATGAACACAAATTATGTACCTAAATCAGATTTGAAAAATAAGTAAATATATAACATGTGTATGTGTCTTGTGTTATGATTTTGTGTGTTTTGTGTTATGAAATTCTGTACATTGTCTTTTAATCCAGTTGGGTCCATAATGCTATCATTATATTGTTGTGCTATGTGTGGTTGTTGTGATTTTGTGTTATAAAATTCTGTAACTTACGAGTATTAATTTTGTATCTCATTGTTTCAATCTATGGTCCATAATATTATGTGAACTCTGGCACATATATGATATAAATTGCCAATAACAATAACAATATGATTAAAGGCATCTATATGGCAATTTATATCCTGCACCACAGCGCGCGTTGCAATGTGCACCCAAATGCAAAATGACGTTGTTTTAATTTTATTTTTTTTTTTGAAATTTCGATACCCAGTGTTTGGCAGTTAATTTTCTTTATAAAAAAATCTCATGTTCAAAAATGTACATAATGTTATACTAGAATACACATAATTGTATACATGAATGTACATAATTATATAACAAAATACACATACTCTTTTTTAAAAGATAATACACATAATCTAACATAATACATAATAAACATAAACTTTTAATATAATACACATCAACTCTTAACATAATACACAAAAATTTCCTGATTCGGATGTACATAATTGTATAAAAAATGTACATAATAAAAAATATACATAATTGTATAAACAAATATACATAATCATGTCAACTTTCTATCGTGCCTCCCAAAATGACGTCGTTTTGGGAGGCGCGGGACGCACAGCACTGTGCGCCGTGGTGCAGGGTATAACGATTGCATCTATACTATACGCTCATATAAAATAATAAGGAATTATGATATAATTGCCATAAACTTGAATTGAAACAAAATTGTTGGTTTTTAAATGTTTTCATGTCCAATCTACTAGCAAGTAATATTCCACAGTAGAAGGGGCATGCGTTATTCGTTTCCCCCAAAAAACTTGAGAGTCCACCGTTCATGCGGCGCCCATGTTTATTGGGTTGTTTAAAGCTGGGTGGTTCTGTTAAATGTTACACGATAATAAAAGCTAACAAATATTGTTCCTGCTGAATAAATCCATACACAATATATATATATATATATATATATATATTGGATCTAGTGAGGTTACCTGTGGCAGGTAAGGTGGTGAGGCTCGATCTTGTATGTCTATTTGGGTTGTTGGACGGATGAGATGGATGCTTCATTAAGAGCATGTGTGTTTGGTCTTGTGTGTGTAGGGGCTTGGGTGTCTTTTTAGCGGTGTCTTTATTAGGTTGTATTAATTTATTAGCAGATTTTATGGACTTGTGCAGTGTTAATTATGGTCGTAATCAGATGTTATGATTTGTATTATATCTTTGCCGTCAATTCCCATTCCACCGTCTCTTCTTCTTCATTTAGGTTTCTTCTCCCTTACTGGTCATATACTGCGATTCATTGTCCTTCTCCTAGCGTTTCACGGTGGTCTGATTGTCTCGTTTGGTATAGCGTTCGGCATGGCGGGGTCTTCTAAACGGCAGCCCAGGCGTCAGAAGGCGGCGTCTTCCGGCGGCGTTCCAGGTATTTCATTTGTTTTGTGGTGTTGCTTTTGTTGTGTTTCGTGTATGGTGGGTGTGTTTCGGTGTTGCATGTCGTCCCGGACGGTCGTATTAGCCAGCGGCGGTTGCTGTGCAAGTAGTTCCGGGGAGTGGGGTGGTGTGTTTTTCTTCGGATATTACCGGTGCCGTCTCTTTTTTTTTTTTTTTTTTTTTTTTTTTTTTTTTCCGGGCGGAAGTGTGTTTCTGGGGCTTGTTTTGTTTTGCATGGCAGCGCCTAGTTTGGTGGTTTGGGGGGGGGGGGGGTGTTGGGGGACGCCTTGGTGGTCTATGGCGGTTGTGGACTAGGGTTTCCGGCGGGCGGGTTCTTCTTTGGGTTTTTTTTTTTTTGTTGTTGTTTTTTAACCGCCGGGGCAGTTATGCGTGTGGTGTTGATGGGTTGGTGGGGGGTTGTGGTGCTTCGGACGGTGTTGGAGTGGGGGAAGGGTTTTGTTTTTTTTTTTCCCCGGTTTCTAGTCAGTCCAGGGTTTGTGCGTTATATCATGTCGGCGTGTGCATTCGTCCAATTTTGGTTATCTTTGGTTTGATTTTGGTAGCATTTTTTGGGTCAATTGTGTACATATGTTTTTTTGTTGGTTTCCTCTTGTTTTCATTTTCAAATTGGAGCATATGGTATTGGGGTTGGGTTTCTTCGCAGATGTTTTTTTGTTACTGTTCTTATGTTGTTATAGCTTGTGCAATGGTAATTTAATTTCTCTGTATATCAATTTTTGTTTTCCTCTAGTGGTGTATACATGTTTTTCTTGTTGTTTTTTTTTTTTTTTTTTTGTGTTTTTAATAATAAAGGCTTTAGTCTAGACGTGGGTAAGGGTGGGTGTGGGATTGCCGTGAGGCGTGGGGGTGTGCGGTATAGGATGTTGTGTGCAATTTGTGAGTATGGTCTGTGCGTATGGCTTATTTATTTGTTTTATACGGTTCTTAGAGGCGGGGGTGTATGCGTTATCAGATGTCGGTGTGTGCAGTACGTTATACATGCTATTATATGTGTTTAATGCTTTTTCGGGAAGTTTAATTTTTGAAGTTTGTTTGTGTAAAATAGCCTTTTAGACATTTTTGTGTTTTCTTATTATTACAAAAATGATGCTATGCTGTAATGTTTTCAAATAATTTATGCACAAACGCAAGGAACCCTAATCAAATTTATTTTTTTCTTTAATTGATAATTATAATTGTCTCAAACTAAAAAAGTTTTATATTAATTTGTCAAATTTTAAGAGTTTTAACATTATTATTATTATATAATGTTGGTTATAATTATTGTCACAGAACACGAGTTTTTTTTTTCCTTTAATTGAATTTTTAAGGGTTAAATATTTTGGTTATAAAACAGTAACCATTTATTTTTAAATGTTTCCACCAACTACTGTTTCTAAAATTACAGTTGTTATTATATTATTATTATTATTATTATTATATTATTATTATTATTATTATTTTTTGCAAATCAATTACTGCGTAGTAGTGAACTGATAATGCTTTTGGTACCATTTTTGTGTTGTTATGGATGTTGTGTTTTTTGTTTCCTATTGGTTAGCATTTTAGAACTGTAGTGGTTTCTGTGTGTGCATTTCGATTTTATGTGTGTGGGCTTGGCTTCAAATCGTTGTTATGACGGATATACTCATTCAGGATTGTGTGCGTATAAAGATTCCGGTGTGTGCAGGTGGGTATTCACTACCTTTTTGGACAGTCAGTGTTTATTTTTTGTTATCGTGGTAATATTTTTTGTTCTATGCCGTTCGTTTTTTTGGTCTGTGCGTTTAAATTTTTTGTTCTTTTTCATGCGCCTT